TGGCATGATAACTTGTCATGCGATGATTACAAGACACTGCATCCAAATCTCACAGAAAACGATGAGAAATTACATGCTCTAGCAAATCAGAAAATGTGGCGTCAATGTGGAAAATGCCAAAACATGATTGAACTTTCTCACGGATGTGTCCTCGTAATCTGCAGGTATCGTATCTAATCACAAACATTTCCTGTACAATTTCTGTTTCTATATATTATTAATCTTGTCAAGCAAATATATGACACTGCATTTTCATGGCAGATGTGGACATAAGTTTTGCTATCAATGTGGAGCTAATGGTGGAAATTGTTCTCATGGCCATGGCCATTGGTTTCCGCCACCTCCGGTGGAATCACCGCCTTCATGCGCGCCTTGTTGTTATCTATTGTTTCTTGTTCTCATCCTGGTCCTATATTATATAGTTATGATCAGAAAAAATATTATATAGTTTGATTTATATCACATATTCATTGTATAAACGAATTTAAAGGGTTTCTTAAACGGATTAATAGTTAGAAGGAAACAAAAAACAAATCAAATTACCATTCTAACAGTCCAAAATTTTCCTAACGTCTTCAGTTCTAATTTTTTTTAGGTTTCTCATAATATTTCATTATTCAGATATAGTAAGCACTACTAGCTTCTGGGAACTGAAAAATCCAGTGGAAGTAGTAGGTGGTCTAGTGGAGAAATATTTCTCCACACCGGTCAGATTCCATCAGTATGAGAATTGTTAATTGTGAATGTACACCTTCTACAAAAGGATCTACATTAAATAAATTTAAGATAAATGTTTTCAAGCTCGGATTCTTATATCATCAGTTGATTAATTAGAAAGCACGGTTTTTGAAACCCAACCTAGACACTGAACCGGACAATTTATCAGATCATTAGATTAAACCATAAACTAATATTATTAACTAATTTAGTTATATAATAAACTATTGAAAAATATAATAGATATTTTATGTTTGGAAAATAAGGAATACTTAACTTTAATCCTACTTACCTGGCAATAATCTTACTAACCCATCCGTGATGGCACTGGATTTACAATGTCTTCTCTAGCATCTAGCGCTTGGCTTCGTGAATCATCTAATTCGACTTGCTCTTAGTTCAAGGTAAGTTCTTCCTCAATTATTGCTCTATGTTAGTGATGGCGAGTTCATGAATGGTGATATCTGTCAAGTATGAAAAGATTAAACGTGGCTCATTTTACTTGTGGCTGAAGGTTTTACTAAAATGGTGCAGCTTGGTGCATTGAGGAAGCTTTCAAAACTGAAAAAAGAGACTGAAGTTTATGACATGCTTCGTATATTGCGGTGAGTTATTTTGTACCAACTGCAAAGTTCAATGGCATGATAACTTGTCATGCGACGATTGCTAGATACTGCATTCAAATCTAAAAGAAAATGATGGGAAGCTACTTGCTCTCTAGGAAATCAGAAAATGTGGCGTCAATGTGGAAAATGCCAACACATGATTGAACTTTCTACCGGATGTGTCTCGTAATCTGCAGGTATCATATCTAATCACAACATTTCCTTTCCAATTTCTATTTATATATATATATATATATTAATCATGTTAAGCAAATATGACACTGCATTTTCATGGCAGATGTGGACATAACTTTTGCTATCGATGTGGAGCCAATGCTGGAAGTTGCACTCATGGCCATGAGCATCCACAGCCGCTTTAATCACCACCACAATCGCCACCTTCATGCCCGCCTCTTTGTGGTTGTCTTACCTTTCTTGTTCTCCTGGTCGTATATTATATAGTTTTAATTTATAGCACATATTCATAGTTTATAATAGTTAGAAGGGGAAAAAAAAAGCAAAAACAAATACCATCCTGACTGAGAGATATTTTCCCTAACTCTTTCAGTTATAAATACTTTTTTTTATTCTTGAGATAGTAAACACAACCAGCTTTTGGGAACTGGAAATTCATTTGAAGTAGTAGATAATAGTGGAGAAATATTTTTCCACACTGATCACAATCCATCGGTAATGATAAAAGTTAATTGCACTCTAATAAAGGTAAATTAATAGTGGTAAAACAAAATGAGAAAAGTAGAATTCACCTAAAAATAAAGAATGGAAAAGAAGAAAAACTAAAATGGAAAAAAAAAAGAGAAAACATAGAAAATAAGAAAATATATTATTCTGGCAAACTGAAGGTAAAATCAAGTGTATAATTTTCTTTCTTGTAATAGTGATTAGAGTTAAAACATTTCCATTTGATTGATGAATTATTAATAAAACTCAGAATAAACTAAAGTTGCAGTAAATAATTATCCTAAAGTTGTAGTGTCCACCCAACTAAAGTTGCAGTAAAGAATTATCCTAAAGTTGGATGTATAGTGATTAAGAAAAATTTACAAACTAAAGAAATTCAAGTCGATATATATTGTGCTAGATGCGGAGCAATAAAAGAATCAGTCAACCACATATTTTTTGAATGTCTACCAGTAATTCAGGTTTGGACATTCTCATGGATCCCATCGAATCCATATATCTTCTGCACCCTATCCTTCTTAGGAAATATAGACAATTTGTATTAGAGGGTTTCTCAAGATGTAAAAGATATATCATCAGTTTACATGAATTTTATGGTACATATGAAAAACACAAACTCTTAAATTTTTTAGTAATATAAATGTTGATCCCACAGATATTCTTAAATTGGTAGAAACTAAATCAGTACTTTAGACTGAGGCACATCTATTACTTACACAAAACACCACCTAACATAAGGGTGCGGAGGTGACAACTCTTTCTTCAATTTAATAATGTTTTATAGATGTACCTTAGATAAATCAGAAAAATTATTCGGAGCAATATTAGTATAATATACTGGAAGATTTGATGGATTAATAGAAGTAAAAGCATCTGCATTGAAGATTCGTAGGGAAGTGTGTTGCATTGAAGATTCGTAGGGAAGTTCACACGTGGATCAAAAAAAAATGCTGATTTTGGTGAACTCGGGTCTTGGAGGTTCGTTGGAATGAATCCGATTCACACAGGGTTCGCCACTTGGCGTCCCGCGATTGGTATGTTATTAATTTTTTTTTTAGAAAAAGCAAACCAAAAAAAAAAAAAATTTATTCTGTGATTCCCCACCCATCATGTTCACTGAATACTAAGGCAAATATTTCACCATTTTCACAATGGTTTATTTATAACTCGTAAAGATGGTTTCAGAATTAGAAAAATGAATAATGTTTGTAAATTATCTAGAAGATATAAAATGTTATAGAGAAATTTTCACAGCTGAAAATTTATTCATATACCATAGACGTACAATTCAAAGATGGCAGTTTAATCTGTAGAATTGTAATAAATCTGTTTATTGATGATAAAAAAAAAAGAATTATCCTATAATATCTAAATAAACACATATATTTCGAGATTTTTTTGTAAGAAACTCCTATTAAACTTACTCTTAGAAAAACTATTTATCCTAAAATGACTATAAAGTCAAAACTTCACTTTAAAAAAAGATTCAAACGTACGTTTTACTTTTCTTTTCTTTGAATATTAATTTTTACTTTTCTTTCATACAAGTTTTTTGAAACTTACCAACGTCTAAGTCTTTTGAATATTAGAGTAGAGCCACATAAATTAAATAATAGTCTAGACTTTCGTCATCACAGTATTATAAATGAAGAAAATTACACCCACTAGTAATATAATTTGATTATATATCACCTTTTGGAAACGGACATTATTTACCACGTCATCACATCACAGCACCAACGCATCACATATGCCGTTCGCATTGGCTTACGTCAGTTCCGTCATCACGCGTGACGTTCGCTCTCTCTTTAACACTAGTACTATTTTCTTGATTCGGCTACTTCTTTTTTTTTTTTTTGTGTGCAAGATTCGGCTACTTCTGTTTTCTTTTTTTTTTTTGTAGGAATAGCGAGTTTTACTCCCAAATATTATTAACAATGAAATGGAATTAATTAATAAATGGTAACAAAGAAACCTTAAATGGTTCATTAATTATAAATAACCCCTTGTACTTTTTCCTATTACTAATTTTACCTAACTATTTTGTTCTAACAATTATTATTTATATAAATTATCATTATTATATAATATATTTATTACATAACATGAATAAACAAACATAAAACATCATAATTTATAAAACAACACTACATATATTTTTATTTTTCTGTTAAAAGTGAATCATGACGGCTAGGATTTTTGGTGACGATTTTAAGTGCGGAAGTACAAAATGCGAATGAAAGATATCGGAGGATAGTGGAAACCATCAAAGAACCACGGGATGTTCCAAGCTCTTGGGTGAAGAAAGTAATATGATGTAACGAAGGAAGGATGTCTGTACCGGAGGAAATGGTTGATGAGTTGTTTGTAGAATCGAATCTGAAACGAAGGAGGGATGCATGTACCCTTAATCAATTAATTTCATTTCATTGTTATCATTTAAGGTTTTATTCTGGTTAAATTAAAAGTAAAATATTACATTTTGTTGTATTTTTTAATTAGTTTTTAAAATTTATTTTTGTAATATTCCATTTAAAGCATTTCTAATCTTATTTTATATTTTACTGCAAAATAAAATAAAAATAGAATAATAAATAAATAAAAATAATTATTTTATATATGAAATATTGAGATTTTTGTTTCTTTATCACTTTTCTCATTCTATTTTACAGTAAATTATGGAATATAGTTGAATATGTTCTTAAATCATTTTAGCTTTTTCTCATTTACACCCTGCTTAAAAAGGTGAAATGTAGCCATGATTTCTAGGAACTTGCTCATGGAACCTTTTGGCCTCATACACGGTTTTTCCAAGTCTTTGTTTTCTGTTTGTCAACTTTCTCATCTGGAGTCTTTCTTAATGCATTTCTAAACCATGTTTTCAATATACACTTACGTCATTAATTATTAAATTAAATTATTTAATCTTCTATATAATGGTTTCCTCTCAGCTGTCTCTTTCTTGCACCGTCATTTCACCTGTTTGTGTCCTCTTTCTTCTCAAACTCTATATCCTTTTAAATATCTCTTTCCTTCTTGACTTCTCTCTCTCTCTCTCTTGATTAATAGATTCCAATTTCGTTCCTTCCTCCCTCCATTTGCCTTCTCTTTGATCTCCTTATCTTCAAACTTAATCTTTGAGGTTGTGATGCAGATCACGAAACCATGGTTTTGATTCTTCAATAGATCTATTCCTTCGTTGCTCAGATTTTTTTCTTTTTTTTTGTACATTGACTCGGAAGTCTAAGAGGGTCATGTTCTGTCTGAAAAATTTGAAATTTTCTTCTGTCTTGTCCGTATAGATCATACCTCAAAATCCAAAGTTTATGTTTTTATTCCCCTGTTGGTTCTGATTGTTTTCTCTATTTGAAATGTAAATTTAAGGCCTTTGAATCTGTTTGAGAATTTAAAAATCTTGATCTCCATGGATCAAAGCTAAGAGCTTTAGAGTTAAAGTTTCTGCAAAAAGAAAAAAAAAATGGCTACTTTAACTGAGCCATCATCATCTTTAAGCTTCACCTCTTCTCATTTCTCTAATGTCTCTATTGGGTCTAATCATTTCTCCCCAAGCTCAGCTTCTAACCTCGAAGTTGTTAGTCTAAGCAAACTCAGCTCCAATCTTGAGCAGCTTCTAAGTAATCCAGATTGTGATTACACAGATGCAGAGATCATTGTTGATGGTGTTCCTGTTGGTGTTCATAGATGCATTTTAGCTGCAAGAAGCAAATTTTTCCAGGAACTGTTCAAGAAAGATAAGAAGAGTTCTAAAGTTGAGAAACCAAAGTACCATTTGAAAGAGGTATTGCCTTATGGAGCTGTTGGGTATGAAGCTTTTGTTTATTTCCTGAGTTATATCTACACTGGGAGGCTAAAACCATTTCCTTTGGAGGTTTCGACTTGTGTTGACTCTGTTTGTGCTCATGATTCTTGTCGACCTGCTATTGATTTCGTTGTTGAGTTGATGTATGCTTCTTCTATTCTCCAAGTGCCTGAGCTTGTTTCATCTTTTCAGGTGTGTAAATGATTACTCTTTTGTCTTCTTGATTCAGAGATTGTTCATTTTTAACAGTTTATGCTTTTTGTTGTTGTGTGTTTGCAGCGGAGGCTTTGTAACTTTGTGGAGAAGTCTCTTGTTGAGAATGTTCTTCCCATTCTTTTAGTTGCTTTCAACTGTAAGTTGACTCAGCTTCTTGATCAATGTATTGAGAGAGTGGCGAGGTCAGATCTCTACAGGTTCTGTATTGAAAAGGAGGTTCCTCTAGAAGTAGCAGAGAAGATCAAACAGATACGTCTCAAGTCTCCACAAGAAGAAGAAGATAACAGTCTCAAGGTCTCAGATAAAATGCTCGAAAAGATCGGTAAAATCCTCAAGGCGTTGGATTCAGATGATGTTGAGCTAGTGAAGCTTCTTTTGACTGAGTCAGATATCACTCTAGATGAAGCCAATGGTCTGCATTACTCCGTGGTGTATAGTGATCCTAAAGTTGTTGCTGAGATTCTCACTCTTGAGATGGGTGATGTGAACCACAGAAACTCACGTGGCTACACGGTTCTTCATTTTGCTGCTATGCGTAAGGAGCCTTCCATCATCATATCTCTTCTCAAGAAAGGTGCCAATGCGTCTAGTTTCACGTGTGATGGGCGCAGTGCGGTTAATATATGTAGAAGATTGACAACTCCAAAGGACTATCATACGAAAACAGCGAAAGGGAGGGAATCTAGTAAAGCACGGTTATGTATTGATCTCTTGGAAAGAGAAGTTAGGAGGAACCCTATGGTTGCTGATACACCAATGTGTTCCCTTTCTATGCCTGAAGATCTCCAAATGAGACTGTTATACTTAGAAAAGAGAGGTGATTGACTTTATAATTGGTTTGAGTTCTCCTGTATTGTTTATGTCATTTTTGCTAATGCATCAAACTTCTTTTGCAGTGGGGCTTGCTCAGTTGTTCTTTCCAACAGAAGCTAAAGTGGCTATGGACATTGCTAACGTAGAAGGTACAAGCGAGTTCACTGGTCTTCCACCACCTTCAAATGGGTTAACTGGAAACTTGAGTCAGGTTGATTTAAACGAAACTCCTCATATGCAAACCAAAAGACTTCTTACTCGCATGGAGGCTCTTATGAAAACAGGTAAAGAAGTGAGTGACTCTTCTGCTTCTGTTCTCGTTTCTCTTGGCTGACTTCACTACACGTTTCACAATGCAGTTGAAACTGGTCGTAGGTACTTTCCATATGGCTCAGCGGTTCTAGATAAGTACATGGAGGAGTACATAGATGACGATCTTCTCAATGATCTAAAGATTGAGAAGGGATCTCCACAGGAGAGAAGACTAAAAAGAATGAGATATAGAGAGCTTAAAGACGATGTCCAGAAGGCGTATAGCAAAGACAAAGAGGCTAAGATTGCGCGGTCTTGTCTTTCTGCTTCATCATCGCCTTCTTCTTCGTCCTCTCTAAGAGATGGCCTTGAAGAACTCAACATGAAACAGTAGTATACGTTGAATGTGGTTTATATCTTTGTTCAAAAGGTTTTCTTTTTTTGGGGGGTGTTGTTTAGATACTTTAGGCTCAGTTTAAATAAATTGGGATGGGTAGTTAGTCTTACATAGTAAAATTACGTACTAACCCAAAACATTCTAACTACATGCAACCTTTTGCTTTAAAATATTTTGGTGTATACTTTTAGACTATACAATAAAATTCCCAATACCTGAAACTAAAACAAACAATAAATCCCATGAACACAGATTAGAGACGTGATCTTTTGTTATCTTTTACATAATTGCAAGACATGGACTAATTAATGGTGGAAAATAATAGAATACCAAAACCATTTTTCTCCAAACACCCTGTAATAATGCATCCTGGACAAGAACTGTCACAGTTATGTCCCAGTAAATAAATATTAGCTGGTTTCTATGGTTTTGATCAATACTTTCTTTCAACAAAGAAAACATTCCAAAGTTGCATCATTATATCTTGACGAATGTATGGTGCGCCTCTCCCACTCTCAGTAGCCACATAAGCGATGGTATCAACAGAGCAAAGGCCTATAGGTTGATAACAATTTGTTGAGCTTTTCAGTTCAGTCGAAGAATCACTTCATGGAGATCAGCAGTGCATCAACGCTAGCTATATACTCAAGGAAGATCTCTGTTCTTTCCGCTTTCCCCAAGTCCTCGTTCCATTTGTGGGTACTTATGATGAACATACGCTACGGTCAAACTCCAATGGCAATAATACTTCACTATGCATCAACATATATTCTCTGACCCTCTCAATCGCAGTGAATCAAAATACTACAACATAAGAATCTGCAACCGGCTTAAGATGATGTTATAAAGTTGAACTAACCAGTGAAACTTCACCTCAGGTAGATGCTTTCTTTATACTTTCCCAAGTAGCTGGACCTTCAGGGTGGGAATTAACAAAGTATGATAAAAACCGTGTATTAGAAATACCCACAATAGTGCCTAGTGTCAGCCTCGGCATTACTGCGTCTCTTTCCCTCAACCAAATATACATTGAGAATCTCTGATGTATTCTCTCCATACTATAACACAAATACGTAGGGGACTCAACAAGAGATTCCACTGGATAACCTAAATAATCTGTTAGAAGCTTAATCTTCTTTTCAATGACATCTTTAGGCCTGCTGAGTATATGAGGAGCCCGCTTCACAACCTCTGTAACCACATTATAATCCAAACCAGCTTTCACAAGGATATCAAATCTCTCTTGTAACTCATCTCCCCTCCCTTGGAACTTCTTCAAAGCACTCACCATCTCATCGGAGTTCTCTACATATCCTATCTTCAACAAGAAGGCCGTCTTCTCAGCGTTCCTAAAATCCAGTGAATCAAGTTCAATTCTCCTGTTTGTTGTTTTAGAAGCTAAACTGAACAATTTCAGAGGATCTTCCTTAATGATCTGATGCAACTCTTCTCTTCCTATCTTCAATTTACTGCAAACAGCTTTTGGTCCTAGCAGAGAAGATGAACAGATAAGCTTCATGTGATTCCTTAAAATGCTAACTATAAACTGCTTTTCCATTTTGATCTGTATCATGTACTTCAAAGCCGCCAAAATGCTTTTTGCAGACTTCTCTAGTAACATCTCTGGGTGGTCAATCACTAACTTATCGATTTCTTTCATCTGAAGTCCCACTTTAAGCAACTTATCAAACATAACATAAGCTTTCTTCCCAGAAGTTTCACCCACTAAATCAGGATATGTTTTCAAAAGACCACTCAACTTCTCCTCTTTGAATCCCATCTTCTCAAGAAGCTCCATTGTCTCAAGAACCTTCCCCCAATCATACGTTTTCCTGTCAGACAAATACCGCCCAAGCCAATCACATGCCATGTCTAAATCCTTCAACTTACTAACCACAGAAACAAACTCACTATCAATACCACCACCAACCAGAAGCAACGGGCAATAAGTTACAAGCTTAATAACTATAGGCTTCCCAAGACCCAATCTCTCATAAGCTTCAAGCTTCGACAACAAAACCCCATTCCCATACCCAAAAATCTCTCTTGTTTCTTTATACACACAACCAATCTTGCTACGAGGAATCCCATAGTTGCAAAGAACATGGAAATTCTCAAAGAGGACACTGTCATCACTCAAAAGCACAAGGTCCCGTTGGAGAAACCGAGAGATCTCAGAAGGACGCAGGCCCACACTCTCGAAAAAGGGCTCAAACTCGTTGATGGGATTGTACCTTAGAAACTTCGTCAAAGACTGAGATATATCCTCTTTCCTAGTATCAATCCTGGACAGCAAAGAAGAGATAAACCTAGGGGAGTTGTTACTTATATGCTCTGCATCAACGAAACTAAGAGTTCTAGTGTTATGCAAGTAATCAAAGAGAGCCTTTTGAGCTTCGTTCTTCATAGCTCGTGAAATTCGGTTACCGAATACCCGTGTTGGTGACTGAGACCAATGTCTTAAAGAAGATTGTTCAGCCCCACAGACAAATCTACCAGTTTGGAAACATCTTAGTGTAGTGTGAACAGTAGAAAGTTTGGATTTTGAAACTTGGGTTTGGTGAGTGATGGAGGAGAGAGCAATGCTAATGTTGAACTGAGCTTTGAAACGCATCATTGAAGCTTAAGACTAAGGCAAAGAGAGAAAGTGGTTTCTTTTCTTTAACTATTCATCTAAAGAATTGAAATTTACCAGAAATTACGGAATATTATGCGATTGAATCATCCATCTTCTTCACCTGATTCTCAAGGTTTCGTCGTCGCTCAAAATCTCTCTCTGTTTCTTTGGTAAAACCTTCTCGTTAGGGCTTTTGAGCCTGTGAATGATATTCAGGCGACCACGGAATGGAAATTGCCATTTGACCCTTGAACTCTTCTTTTTTTCGTACTGATATGACCGACAAATGTGTGGTTTTTGCCCCCAGCCCATGATTAAATTAATCTTACGCCCAAAATTCCCATCTCTGAAATTGAATTGAGGAACAACCAATAGCTGCTCTCAAACCATCTCCAATGGTTATAACTCATCATGAGTTTCTATGACTAATTTAATTGTAAATTTTGTGATTTGTGAAGTTTAGAATTTCTAATAATTTATCATGTCCAATAATATAATTTTTTTTGAAACTCTTAAGAGAGAAAAAAAGATAAAAGAGGGAGTGACACACAAAAAAAGCTAATAAGAAAATGACATTTTAGAAATTTTTACTAATTCTAAAAATTTGGTTCTTAATTTTTTTTTTTTTAAGTTTTTTTTGAAGAATTCCTTTTTACAAACTTTCACTGGAAGTGTACTAAAATTTTCGGCATTTTCTAAAACTCACAGTTGTGTTGAGAGTGTTGATTACCCAATGACACTTATCTTATTTTTTTAAAAATAACTAAATAATATTTCTTCAACTATAAATAAATAATATATATGTGAAATTAATAAAATAAAGAATGTAGAAACAATAAACCAATATGTTTCTCTTGCTGTTTTTCATACACACAAACCACAAAACTTTGAAGAAATATATTTTATGATAAAAATACAACTACCTTCAAAATTTATTTTGATGAGTCTAGCAGCATCTAAAAGTTTTGAAATGTATCTCATGGATATTATAGTTGCATCAATATATATATATATATATATATATATATATATATATATATGAAATCTCTAAAAGATTGAAAATACCATAAGCATTAAGAAAAAATCTAGAAAGATTTCTTCGGTTAAATTACAATGATCATTTTACAGATTAAAGCAAATCAGCGCATGTGATACAATCGCTTAACTGAATATCTATGAAAAAAAGATGTGTGGATAATGTGGTATGTCCATGTAATTTTGTTAAGAAATCATCATTTGATTTTGTGATCATTGGTTTATATGTGAATGACCTGATCATGATTGGTATTTAAAGGAGGTTGATGATGCACAAATCATATGAAATTTTTTTTCAAAATATAATATCTTAGAAAGATTAAGTTTATTTTCACTCCAGATTGAGGAATTTTGAGAAGGAATAATTGTACATCAATTAAAGATACGAAAAAGATATTGATGAAACGTTTTATATGGATAAAGTGATTCCTTTGAGTACTTCAATGATAAATAGATCTCTCGATGTTGGGTAAGATCCCTTTAGACCATGTGAAGATAGCGAAGAAATATTAGATCCTGAAATATCTTATATGAACTCTATCGATGGACTTATGTATATTACAAATTATACTCGACTTGATATTTTTTTGCTACTAACTTGCAAGATATACTTTTTCTCCTACTCGTAGACATGGGAACAGAATAAAACATACATTCCGTTATCTCCAAAGTACATTTGATTTAGGATTTATTTATCCTAGAAACTTCGATTTTTGTATGGTTGGTTTTGCAGATGCGTGATACTTTTTCCATTACTAAGATTTTAATGAGGTAATATATAATACAAGATGGATAATCAAATGAAATATTGTAATGTTGATCATCCAATGAATTTTTTCCTACTTTTACATTATCTTCATCGTCAACACATGTCTTTGTCTCACTTAAAGAGAAGATGAGTAAGCAATACTTGTTCTACTATAAATAGAAGTGCTTGTACATGAAAATAATAAGAGAGGCAATGCAGAAACAATAAAATCAGCCATTTACTCTCTCTTGTTGTTTCTCATACACACAAACCACAAAGATTTATCTCTCTAGTTGTTAATAAACATCATGTTGAAATTTTCAACTATCATTTGCATCATATGTGAGATGTTTTTCCGATAATTTTCTTATCACAAACTGAATTTTTTTTGACAGTTTTGAATCACTTCCAATTTTTTATTTAGGTTAAATACGGTGAGACTACAATCAAAACTTAGCAAAACGAAATTCACTGACATTTATACCACTAGATAGCAGACCATAACTGATAAAAATGATATGTATTGTATAAGCGAGATAGATGACGACAGCGGAAAAAACTTGCGCCGTGATGACGAAGCAAAAGACTATGCCCAAAAACAATAGTTCGGCAAATCTTGAAGGTCTCAATGGAGAGGTTTAAAGAAATCACCATATTTGTCGTCTTGGAATCGTTTTTTGATAATGTCAGAAGTAAATAATGTCTTACAATTGCATTTGTTAAAATATATATTGGACTATAAAGATATCATTTTCTTTTTGTAACAAAAAATGTCAAATATAAATTTGACAATAAAGATGTCTAAATGCCTTCAGATTAGTTGGAGAAAAAAAGGAAGACAAGTCCATTGCCTTTTGAAATGTATAATATCTTCCAGTTAGGTATCAAAATATGCAAAAAAATAGCCAGTGTCCTCCTCACAAGTCACAATACGAAACTTAAAGACAAATTAGAAAAAGAAATCAATAGTTTGGTACTCCTCCATTAATGTCTACTCCCTCCGTTCCACAATATAGGATGTTTTATCCAAAGCACAAGAATTAAGAAATTTAACTTTTTAAAAGATAACGTCATTGATAGTATAAATTTAAAATAAATTAACCAATCATAAATAATAAACTAAAATACTATTGGTCAATCGGTTCTCTATAAAGTTAAAATACCTTTAAAATATCAAAACATTTTATATTTTGAAACATCAATTTTCTTTAGAACATCTTATATTATGGAAGGGATGGAGTATGGGTTATGGGTTTTTATGGAATTACAGATAAAGTATACGGATCCTTTCGTAAATTCCATTAACTTTCGAGTGGGGGGTTTATCTCACAAGTCTCGTGTCGTATTCACGGAGCCGTATAATATTTGTTCCTTTGATTCCTCTCTCTGCTCCTTTTTGCTATCGTCGTCAAGAGCCAGAAAGAGAGAGAAAAAGAGGAATCGGTTGTTTTGTTGTCGAAGCTTCTTCCACCTCGAGCGTCAACGCGTTTCTCTCATCTTCGATCTCGTTGATCAGAAGATTTCCCGAGCTTCAGATCAACAATCATGGCCACCGCTGGAAACAAGAACATCAACGCCAAATTGGTCAGTACTGATCCGTTTATCATTAGCTATACCTTCTTTCTGTGCTCTTTTGTTAATCCTCAGATCGTGAATTCGACTGATTTTTTTTACTGGAGAATTCTGATTGGATCGTTGATCTCAGATGTGGGTCTGTTTTTTTTTCAATTTGGGGGAATTTATGTTCTTTTAGTTTCATAGTTTCGTAGATTGCATGTTGTATCAGTATAAAGCTAGGATTTTTGGAGTAAAAGGTTGTATCTTTCATGGATTATACATTATATGATCTTCTTTTTAGCTACTTTGTTTGTATCTCTATGTCTAACAAGTATGATTTTGAACATTTTAATATCTAAGATCATCACTTTAACTAATCTCTTTGTTAGCTTCTGTAGCAGCAGAAGACAGTTTCTATTTCCTTCCTTTATTTTAATTTTTTGGTGGTTAAACTTTGTGGCTAAGTGATTCAGGTATTACTAGGAGATGTTGGGGCTGGAAAATCAAGTCTTGTGCTTCGCTTCGTCAAAGATCAGTTTGTTGAATTCCAGGTTCGTCTACATTCTCACTATTATTATTATTTTATTCATTTTGTTAAGAGATTTTTGACCGCATTATTCCAGGTTTTGATACTTGTTGTTGGTGTTAACAGGAATCAACGATAGGTGCAGCGTTCTTCTCACAAACATTGGCTGTGAATGATGCAACTGTCAAGTTTGAGATTTGGGATACAGCTGGTCAGGAACGTTACCATAGCTTGGCTCCTATGTACTACAGGGGTGCTGCTGCTGCCATTATTGTCTTTGACATTACTAATCAAGTACCAGTTATTCTCTATCCTTTGCCTTAGTCAAGAACATACTAATTTGCTGAGTCAGCAGTGGGCTTTAGGTTTTTGCTTAACTTAGTTTATCTTTTTTCACAGGGCTCATTTGAGAGGGCGAAGAAATGGGTTCAGGAACTGCAGGCACAAGGTAAGTATATGGCTGAATATGGTTTAGATTCATATATTGCTACTTTATAATATAGTTAGTGAAGCGTATTTTGAATGTGGATTTGACTATATATTCTTGGTTTTGTTGTTGTTGTGTGAATAGGTAACCCTAATATGGTGATGGCTCTTGCTGGAAACAAAGCTGATTTATTAGATGCAAGGAAAGTGTCTGCAGAGGTAAGCCAAATCTTCTTCTCCTGTTAACACACACTTTGTTCCAAGATTATGGAATGGGCTTTTGCATTTCTGGATTGTGTTGTTAAGTCATCCTGTTTGTGTCTCACTCGCAGGAGGCAGAGACATATGCTCAAGAGAACAGCCTTTTCTTCATGGAAACCTCAGCTAAGACTGCAACAAATGTCAAAGACATATTCTACGAAATCGGTGAGTCATTCTTTTACATATAAGAAACCAATATATCAAAACGAGTTTCTTACTTTCGACTAAAGTCCTTTTCACTTTTTTTTTTGTCTCTTGGTCAACCGTTACAGCAAAAAGGCTCCCACGTGTACAGCCAGCAGAAAACCCAGCAGGAATGGTTCTCCCAAACGGACCAGCAGCCACTGCAGTGAGTTCTTCATGTTGTGCTTAAGAGAGCTTTCTATCTCTCTCTTGGTTAGTCACATTAGAAGGAAATATCGAGACTGTTTATGTGTTTTCTTCTTGTCTTAACGTTGTCGCTTTACCTTGCTTACATTGGCAACAAGAGTGTATATCAAAGATGTTTCCAGTCTAAAGATACTTGTATTTGAAGAAGTTTGGATTTCATTTGTAATTAGATATCATAACTTTCTGTGCGTGTGTGATCGCTTCTACATATTTTGTGCACCAAATCCTGTTTACTTGCGTTTATAATTGACAAAGTAAATGAAACCTGAAATCATTACAGAATGCTTACGGTTTTTATCTATCCCTTGAAGCGACAATGATCCATGAGTTGTTTTTGTTAAGATTAACTGCTATAAATAAATTGAAGAGATTCACTAGGTGTTTTTGTGTAACAATGGTCCATAAGTTGTTTTTGTTAAGATTAAGTGCTAGGAATAAAGTGAAGAGATTCATTGTGTTTTTGTTACACAACCGAGCAATCCGGATTCTTTGGTTGCTCGGATTTTAAAAGGTAAATATTTTAAAAATGGTAATTTTTTGGATTGCGGAATGGGAACACGTCCGTCTTATGCATGGAGGAGTATCATGCATGGTAGAGAATTATTAAAAAAAGGTTTATATCGTCATATTGGTAATGGGACGGACACAAATGTATGGGGAAAAAACTGGATTATTGATAATATTCCCCATCCTCCTATGTATCGTCCAAATAGCTCAATAAATTTAGCTTTAAAGGTTTCTGATTTGTTCGTGCAGGGGTCGAATCGTTGGGATATTAATTTATTGTACCAGACTTTTACGGCACAGGATGTGGACAGGATTTTGCTTATAAAACCTTCACTACAAGTTGTTGATTCAATTAGATGGGGTTTTACTCCAAATGGTGCTTACTCGACTCGAAGTGGGTATAAGTTGTCAGAGGTTTTGGTTAATGTTGAACAGCATCAAGGGCATTCTCTTTCTCCAATTGAAAAACAATTATGGAAAAACTTATGGAAAATAAAAGCTCCACCTAAAATAAAGCATTTCTTGTGGCGTGCTCTTGCTGGTGCTCTGGCGGTAAAACAACGACTGACTACGCGGGGTATTCCGGTAGATCCAACATGTCCTGTGTGTGGTTCAGATGCAGAGACCATTTGTCATGTTTTGTTTACATGTGACAAAGCCCAGAATGTATGGGAGCGCTCTGGTGTTCCAACACCCGTAGGTGGTTTTTCTCGAAACTCTACCTTTTTAAATCTGGTGCACCTAATCAAGATTGCAAAAATGCCATCTCCGGATATCCATATAAGGTCTGTCTTTCCATGGTTGCTTTGGGAAATTTGGAAATCCCGGAATGCATTTGTCTTTGAAAACAAGGTTTTAGACTCAGCATTTATTACTAAACGTGCCTATGAAGAAGAAGCTATATGGNGATTCTCGGCACCAGTCGTACATTGCCCGACATGCACCTGTATGGCTTCATCATCTTCTCGCTTTGGAGTCTAAGTAAGAGAAGGTTTAGGTGAGGCTTCTATTTTCTTTGATGTCTATTGACATTGTGTCTTTGATTCAGTTTGTTTTCTACATGTTCTACTTTGTTCCCCAAACAATCAGTGTTATAAAAAAAAAAAGCCTCAAGGCACCTGAGCATTATGACCTTATAAATCTTTCTCTTGATTCTTTCTTTCTCTTATAAATTATATTATACTCCAGTTTATATGTAAAATATTCTTATTTTAAAAAATGTAAAATTTATTTTAAAATCCTACTATATATATATTAACTAGGCTAATACCTACGCATTTGCGCGAGATGAGAATTATATATATAAATTATTTTATGTCTTATCTTTTATTTTATGTTCTTTTATTTAATTATAAATAAAAACTAATATAAATTGAATAATTGAAAAAGTTGTAACTATTGTATGTACAATTAATTTAGTGAGCACTTATTTATTGGTGCTATTGAAGCTACACCAAAAAAACTCTCTCTATTTTTATTTTCTTGAAATCTAGAGTACAATCTCGAATGAATTATTTTAATTAATTACAATATTATTTTTTGTAAGATACATTTTTAATGACTAAAGTTTATGTTATTTTACTATTTTAAATCTAACAAATCTTCTGAAAATATACATTAAATTTTTGATTATTCAATTATTTGAAATTTAAAATTTTAAAATATCTACTATTCAAAAATTATAGCGATGTAAATATAATATATTTTTATATAGTATAACTATCCGCAAAATTGCGGTAAACACCTAGTAAAAAATATTGTTGGATATAAATTAATTATATATAGTTATTTTTATATTTTATGTATTCTAACTACAAATGATTTCCCAAAAGCTCAATATGAGAACATTGAGAAAAAAAACATTTGGATAGTATTAACATTTGATAAATGTTTTTTTGGTAAATGTTAATTGGATAATAGAAAGCATAATACTTATGTTAATACTGTACTAATTAAACCTTTATTAGAATTTTTGAATCTTTTTCTTGATTATTTCTTTTTGGCTTAGCTGAATTTCTGATGTGGAGGATCCACTAAGTGGCAACCACAGAACATACCTTACGTACTAGTTTACTAGTTAGAAACAATTTACAGACATTAACACTTTGTAGGAGAGATAATTATCTTAGTTAGGGATATCAAATGGACAGATTGACCTATTTAGACGTGTCTACATGGATGTTTCTTTTTGTTGGATGTTGTTGGACAAAGATTAAATAAGACTATATCTAAATAGAATCATAACCAGTTGGACTGTCCATCGGATCCAAATAGCTTAAAAAACAATTTTTTGGTATTCACGGAAACTCAATTTTGGTGAAAAACTTATTTTCAGCTGGTTGTACACAAAACGCAGAAATGTTATGCGGTGGTCACACAGGCCAAGGAAAAGGTCTTTATAATCTAGTAAAATAATGTACAGGTCGACAGACAAATGGAGCCTATAGACCGAGATAACAGGCGTGGACGGCTCATTAGGAATAGGGTTGGAGCGTTAAAACGGATATCAGCACTAAACTCAGATGAATATGAACTTGAGTGGGGTCACACCCAGTGGCGGAGTCATAAATTTTTTGTATTGGGGTCGGAATTTTTTTCTTTCTAAACATAATTTATAATCTATCGAAAATAAATATACTCTACGATTACTCATTATAGCTTGAAATTATTATTTTTATCACATTTTCATTTACTATATTTTGAAATATTTTTTATAAAACAAATAAGACAATCATTTAGAACTAATCAATGATATTATTTCGTAATAATGTTTTGTAATGTTTGACGTTTTTTTTTCTATTTTAGAAACTATCATCCATTGAAGAAGATTTTAATTGATCTGTGAAATTTTCCCTAATAAATTAAAAAATTAATTTGTTTCTAAAAATAAAACTCACTGTTGAAAATATTTAGATCACGAACATAAACCCTAAAATGCCTTTTTGTAAAATAATATAAGCAAGAGCAGAGTATAACCAAAAAAATTAATGTGGATTTTTTTATAAAAAAACGAAACTTACTTTAAAATTTAGAGAGATTAGTAAATATACATGTTTATAGAAACACAAATTTGATAGATATTATGAAGTACGATATTATGTGGGGCTAATACAGTTTGAGCTTAATACAAATATGTAACTAGAATTTAAATTAAAAACATTTTTTTGCTAAATTTTAAATTCAAAGAAAAATGTTTAACAAATAACATAAACATATTGTTATATAATTAAAATTTCTATTTAGTTTAATTTTTTTCTAATTTTTTTGTGGATTTAAATTCTTTTATGAGGTCAAATTTTAAAAACAAATAATTTACAAATCTAGTGAGGTCAGATGACCCCCTTCCACAACACTACCTCCGCCCTTGGTCACACCAACGGGGTGATGGTGTCCTCGTTAATTATGCTTAAAATGAGGTGATTGACATATTGTAACATCATAGTTTCTAGTATGTGGTGTGGTATATGAAAAATACTTCAATTAGCTAAATTAATTGTAACATCTTTTTCTACTATATGGTGCACGCTCCATGTGGAAATACTTAAAAATTAAGTGTTTGTCCATAATTTTGCGGGTAATTATACTATATGAAAAAATTATATATATATATATTATGTTTTATATTATTATAAATTTTTAATCATAATTAGAAAATTTAAAATTTAATTTAAAATTTAAAATAGTTGGAAATTTCAAAATTTTAATTTTAAATTTCAAATTTTAAGATATGTGAGATTTAAAATAGTTAACAACATAAATTTTAATCATTAAAAATCTCTTCTTTACAGAAAAAAATATTATAATGAAGTTAGATAATTGGTTGTAGAATTATTTTACATTTTATTTTAACACGTTAATAACCGGTTGTATTCTAGCTTTTAAGAGAAAAAAAAGGAGGGATCATGTTTTTCTGTGTAGTTCCAATAGGACCAATACAATGATTTGAGGTTTTTATCATAAAGATATTTTGTAAATGCTTTTGCATACAATTTAAAAAACAGAAAAGTTTTAATAATTCCTTACCTATACATCTAATTTATATAAGAATATATAGCATTAAATTTAATTCTAGAAAAATGTTAAAGTATTTTATTTCAATATATAAATAATTGATAAAAATAAAGAAAATTATAAAAATATATATATTATTTCTCTAACTCTACAATTAGTTATCGTAAAGCATTATTTGTAATATCACTTGGTTTTATTTGGTAATATGTATTCATTAGTTCTAGAGTTACCTTTTACTTTTATATCTGATTAAAATAAATAACTAATAAAAATAAATAACCAATCAAATTAAAACAAATTTAAAAAATTTGACATATTAACGAAACATAAAAAAATCACTTAAATGACTTCTCACTTAATAGAAGGATAGTATTTATCGCTTTAAAAGTAAGAATAAATTTAGTTAAGGTAAATATGAAAACAGGTATTAAGAAAATGGTAGTTTAAGCAATTTCTCTCATAGTT